TAACACCAGCTGTGGGTGTGTTAAGGCTGAGCCACTTCTGTTCAAACCTCAACACACACCAAGCATGCTGAAGTGTGAAGTTGTGATCTTGATCAGATGAGAAAATGTCAAGCGCCTTACCTCAAATGTCAGTGTCACTCTCACCACTGCCAATTTGTCTCTCTGCTACCGAGTATGCGGCACAGAACTTGTTAACCTCGTCATTGATTTTGTGCCACCTCTTCTTGCACTGACCGTGCTCTCTCACACCACTGTTTTGTCCATGAGGACTTGATGCATAATATTCAGCAACCCTTTTCCAGAAGGCCCCCGACTTCTGCTGATTTGCAACGATAGCATCCTTGGAAGTGTTAAGCCACGCACTGATCAGCACCTCGTCATCTGCTGCGCTCCATTTGTATCTTACAACACGGGTTCGTGGTGTCTCAATTGGTATTTCTCGTGAATGTTGGGAACTGAAAGCCGGAAATGTCTCTGATTCTCCAAAGTTAACACTACCATGAAAACTTTCATAAGGAAAGTTTTCATGGAAAACGCTACCTTGCTGACTATGAAGCAGTCCTACGTAGCCAGAGAACTGACTACGAAGATTGGTTTGATCCATAACAGAAAGAAAATGTAGGATATATCAACGAGAAAGACTTATGAGATGATAGAGTAGAGAGAAGATAAGAGATTTAAATAGGCGGAAGTGAGGATTACAAAGTACATGACCAACTTAATGGCAAGCTCCGAACAAGAACTGTCTTGTCCGAACTTATTACACAACTAAGTAGCTACTAACTAAATTCAGCCTTTGGGTAAACTCAGACGCAAAAGGTTATTGTATTTTATTTAAAACTAATTTCAGTGATGGTAAACAACCCTAACTAGGCAGTAATGTCTACTTACTAACATTTAATTCTCTCCAAAAACACCAGTGGCTCTACAATAAAAAATAAACATACAAATTTTAACCGATGAATAATGATACAAGAGAAACGAAACAATCAAACAAGCGAGAAAACATGAACTTTTAGAGTTTTTCATTCATACACATACGCAAGAAACACTTTTCAAAGTCAATAACATACCGCAATGAATAAAGTTAATAACAAACCAAGTTACAAAGCCTTAAACCCTAAAGACATACCACAATGGGTTCCAAGACATGTCTTTTTCTTAAGTATTCATGTGACCAAGTTACAAAGCCTTAATTGTCAATCAGAAACACCGAAATTATGTATAGAAACATACATTTCATTCACACACAATCTATCCCAGAGAACCCTAATTTCCGATTCAATCCTCAGAAACCCTAATTTTCGATATCCACCAGTCAAACAACAACAAATCGATCACAATCAACAAATTTGAATACAAACGAAACAAGCAAACAAGCAACAATCGGACAATCGAACCATTCAAGGCTTTACAAATCTTAAAAAATTTCAAAACATATCTGAGATAAAAAAAACTAACCGTGATAGGATTGGGACGAATCGCACAGGTTTTGGGGAGGATTGAGCTTTCGATTTGCAGGGATGATTGAGCTTTCGATTTAGCAGAGATGGTGTCGGGGATCAAGCCTTCGTTGGTAGACAGAGCTTTTGATTTTTTTCCCCTTCGGATTTTGGAACTTTCGAGGAGAGCACGAGTCGCACAAACCGATTTCATCTCCAATCTCCTTGCGCCACGTAGCTTAGGGACGAGCCCATAGATCCCTTGCGCAAGGCCCGTCCCACCCATTTTAATTTCTTTTCGGATTTATTTTCGACCCAATAAAAGGTAAGGGATGGGCTTTAGGGCCCCCGATACCGATGCCCTTAGCACCTCTGATAGAGGGATTCTAGCTCTTGAAATTCTAAAAGTACATAGGTGTGTATGTATATATTTATATGTGTATGTAATTATGGGCTTCTATATATACATACACACCTATGTACTTTTAGAACCTCAAGAGCTAAAGAGCTAGAACCCTTCTATTAAGACGTATTTTTATTTTGTCTCATGCACAAAACCGTTTCTAGAATTTGAAAGGCTGAAAAAAATGTGATCATTTTTTGAAAAAAGAAAACAAAAATAAACAAAAATAAAGAAGTGAAATTGTAGCTGCTGGTTAGAACTCATGTACTAGTACGATTGTAAGAGTATTTCCAATTAGTGAAACTAAGAAAACTCGATTCCCAATACAAAATAATTAATTATTATTATTTTTTCGTTGAATTTAAAAAGATAATAATTAATTGAATTAATCGCGGACAGCTATATGGTGTGGGGTCCGTGAAACAGTGATAAAATGGATTTATTGCTAAGACTTCATGCGAGACATATTCACTAATAAAGGTTATTTTAATATATTTTTTTCGGAATCTGTGTGAACCTCCCCTAGTTATACTAATGGGGATACTCTAATAGTAACAGATTACCACTATGACTTTCGAGTCAAGCCAAGAGCTTTGGTAAAAACTATCTATAGTTAGTAAATATTCAACACTCGTCCAATCTTTTGTTTTATCTCTACTTTGTCTACTCATTCATAAAATTCTTGCAAATAATGAGGAAGATGTTGAATGAGTTATGTTATGATACTACGTTCGAGAGCGGGTAACCTGTCTGATAGAGACAGTCCAACAATCATTTTTGTAAGATATAATTTTCCACAACTTAAT